AGGGGGCAAGGACACAAGCCCCTGCCATTCTAGTTCCTTGCCCGTCATAGCTCTGGGACTGTGAACAGACCTAGACCCCAGAGGGTTTCAGAAGACCTGCGAAACCTTGTATTGTTCCCCCTCCAGCACCTGCATTCCTTTCCAGTCACTATCAGAAGAGGAAACTTTTCAATTTGAAAAGCCCAGAAAAAAGGCTTGCTGAAGGACTGGGCACAGGTTTGCCTGTCTCCCCCACTGGCAGTCGGAATTTGTTTCCTTTAATCAATTCCTTTTGGCTGTGACTTGCTAGCCCAGCTCCTCTCTGCTGCACACGTCTTCCCCAGCAACTCTGCTCTTCTGCTCGTGCATGCCAGCCGTGCCTCTGTCAGTGTTGAAGCCGAGTCAGCCCACAGTGGGAGCAGAGGGCACCTGTGGGCGCAAGGGCTGTGTGGGAAACCGCAAGTCCATTCTGTGGCCTGGGGCTGCCCTCCAGCCAGTGCTTGGGAGCAGGAGGCCAGCGCCTGGGGATTTCCTGCTTGGGGGGTGGGTTCTGGAAGGCAGCAGTGAAAGACAGGCGGGCTGGGGGCTGAAGGAGGAAGGACCGGAGCCCTTGTGGCCTGATTCAGCCCAGGAAGGTGGACAAAGCTTGAGAGGAAGGGGTCAGTTTCTGGCAAGGGAGAGAACGCTTGCACGGCATGCAGTGGCTTTGCCAGAGGCAGAGAATCAGAAAATGTTTTTCTCCCAAATCAGATGGTGTGTGTGTGTGTGTATGTGTTGTCGTCCATTTAAATAGTTGAAAAGGTGTGAGATTGGCGGGGGGGGGGGGGGGGGGGCGGAGGGAGAGGAAGAGAAAGGAAGAGAGGAAATAACGGAAAGAGATCTGCAATCCACCGATCCATTCCCCGAATGCTGCCAGCGGACAGGGCTGGAAGCTGGGAACTTAATCCAGGTCTCCCATGTGGGAGCCATCACTCGCTGCCTGCCAGGGTGCACGTTAGCAGGAAGGTGGAACTGAAAGCAGAGACTTGGGACCTTGTGTGATAGCATAGTAGTTAAAGTCCTCACCTTGCATGTGCCGGGATCCCATATGGTCGCAGGTTCTAATCCTGGCAGCACTACTTCCCATCCAGCTCCCTGCTTGTAACCTGGGAAAGCAGTTGAGGACTGCCCAAAGCCTTGGGACCCAAAGCCATGGGACCCTGCAACTGGGTGGGAGACCAGGAAGAGTTCCTTGCTCCTGGCTTCGGATTGGCTCAGCTCCAGCCATTGTGTAGTGTTTGAAATAGGAAGCTGAACTCAGAAGCAAAGTCGAGCTGGACTTGAATCCCGGCACTTGGATGTGGGATGCACGTAGTCCAGGTCCTAACCCCCGTGCCGACACTTGCCCCTCTTACCTCCTTTTGACATGAAATCTTTCTAATTTCCTGGAAACATTTATCCTGAATTCATTTATATTCCACTCTCTCTACCCCAAAGCAGCCCTTTATCAGTGGAGCCTTAACTTCTCTTCTTAGGAAATAATATTCAAAACTAAGATGTAGGGATTAGCACTATGGCATAATGGGTAAAGCTGCTATCTGCCCTGCTGGCATCCCATGCGGGCACCTGTTCATGTCCTGATCGCTCCTCTTCTGATCCAGCTCCCTGCTTATGATCTAGGAAAAGCAGAGACCCCTGCTGTACACACGGGAGCCCTGGATAAAGCTCCTGGTTCCTGGCTTCAGCCTAGCCCCTCAGTCCCGAGGGGGAATATTCAACTCTGCAGTGAACTGTGCTTCTAAGCCTTGTGAGTGGCAGGTCAGCTGTATATAGTATTTTCTTGACTTCTGGTGTTTTCAGTTTTATGGTGGATTTATCAGGAGGTGACGCCACTGTAAGCCAAAGCGTGTCTGTGCATCAAAAGCATTGCACCCTTCAGTCACTTCACCACACCTTCCTCTGCATAGGTACTGTGTGCAATGCATGTGGGCCGTGTGCATGGTTTTTTTTTTTCCTGACTTAAGGAGTTTTTGATCTGTTTTTTAGAATAGATGCTTTAAAACTAAGACTTTCTGGAAATGCACTCACAGAGAGGAAGATCTTCCATCCACTGATTCACTCCCCAAGTGGCCACAACAGAGCTGAGCCAATCTGAAGCCAGGAGCCTCTTCCAGGTCTCCCAAGGCTTTGCGCCATCCTCTGCTGCTTTCCCAGGCCACAAGCAGGGAGCTGGATGGGAAGCAGGTCCACCAGGATCAGAACCGGCGCCCATATGGTATCCTAGTGCATACAAGGTTAGGACTTTAGCTGCTAGGCTATTGTGCCGAGCCCCCGGTCTTCTTATTAATAATATGTCCTGGGATCTCTCTAAATTTGCATAAAGGAACCTGTTTTGTACTCCTGCTCCCTACCCCCTCCACCACACCGTTCATTCGCATAATACTGCTGTTGAACCTGCCATCATTTAGTTCATTCAAGCAGCACCTGGGTTAAGTGTTTGCTTGCAATGCTGGCACTCCGTATCAGTGTTGCTTTGAGTTCCTGATGCTTGTGATCCAGCTCCCAGATAACCAGCTGCGGAAGCATCAGGTGACGGCCCGAGTGCATGGGCTCCTGCCTCTCCTGTGGGAGAACTGGATGGAGTGGCACAGTGACAGTTGTTAAGCCACTGTTAAGGATCCCTGCATCCCATGGCAGGTTGCTAGGTTTGAGACCTCTTCCACTGCCAGTACAGCTTCCTGCTCATATGTACCCCTGCACTCTCGTGGGAGGGCAGCAAATGATGGCTCATGCACTTGGGACACTGTCACCCATATGGCAGACCCAGACGGAGTTCCTGGCTCCTGGCTCCTAGCTACGGCCTGGCCTAACCCAGTAAAACAGAGAGTGGTAGTAAAACAGAGAGTGGATGATCTTTCTCTTTCTCTCTCAACCTTAAATAACAACAAAAACTAACAGCCAAAGGCAAGCAGAGATATTTGATAGGAGGAAAGGACGTCTCTGACATGTGACCCCCAGGGTTCACAGAGACAATCCAGATGGAATCTGAGGTCACAGTCATTTGTGAGTCATCAACAGCCCAACCCTTTGAGTGACGTCAAGGATTGAAGATGGCTGAGGGTCTTGAAGCTTCCCAGCACTCTCTTCTTTCCTAAGTCTTTTGTCTGTCAGAGTTTCTTGTCTGGGGCCCCATCTGGGCCCTCCCCATCCTGAGAGCGAGAATCAAGAGGGCCCTAAGTGGTCACTGGCAGCAGTGCAGTGGTGGGATAAATCTGTGAAAAAGCATCCCTGGAGGAATTTGACCGACAATGCCTGCCTGTTGCTGGAGGGCTACTGCTGTCCCTCTGGGAGACAACTAAGCAGTAAGTAACTGTGGGCTGTAGAGGATACTGTGTTTATTCTAAGCAGCAAGCCATTTAGGACATTTCCCTGGAACAATTAAGTTCCACCTCTTAAAGTCATCAACAAGATGAGGGGTGTTTTTTTTTAAGGCAAGCTTTTATATCTAATAGGTTCACATCTACACTTTTATATTATGCTTTATACCAAAATACACATCCACCTGTCTGATATGGTGGTATCTTGATTTGTTTCACAAAGATAATGCAATAGAAACTGGAGGAGGAGAACCTGGCAATGAATTTTACCCAACATTCTAAACCAGAAAGCTGCCACCTATTCCATCGACATCTTCTGACCATCTGCTATGGGTGCCGGATATTGTGTTGTATACAGAGACACAAGATGAGGTGTTCCTGGTGGGGCAGGAGAGCCAGACACGCAGGTGAGGGGATTAGAACAGGCTGCTTGGAGGAGGTAACTTCTTAGCTGAGGCTGCAGGGCTCTCCACACTAACTAACCTAAGAGTAAGCAAAGCTGTCCAGAGAGAGACCAACACAGCATGGAAGGGAGCTTGGGAGATTGGAAAGTCCTCTCCAGACAGAGAGCCATAATACAACATAGAAAATCAAAGTTCCAAAATTCAGTTAACCAGCTTATCTAAATCCTCCCTCTGTGTCTAGCTTCCTACTAAGAGGTAGCAAGGGAAATATGGCCACACCCATTTTGTCAGGCTGACAAGTAACAATAGGAATGTGAAGAGACAGTAGCCTTGGGGACATGGTGAGAAACTCTGCAGCTTCTGAATAGCTCCCACTGGGGAGGGGATGGGCAGGAATTCCAGCACACAACAGGAAGAAGAGGTAAGGGGCAAGGGGACTCCTGGTTGTCTGTTAGGAAGCTCAGATCTGGAGTGGACTGGTGACTAAGTGGGGAAGTTCAGGGAGAGGCAAGCAGGGGTCAGGCACAGAGGACCTTGTGAAGGTCTTCGGCTCCAATCTCAGAGCTTCGGGGTCTGAAAGGTCTGAAAACAGAAGTAATGTCATATGAAACACAGTCTGGGAAGCTTCCCTGGGGCTACAGTGAAAGGAGTGGATGGAGGGGTCAGAACAATGCCAGGGAATCAGGTGGATGGTTACTGGCATCCTGGCCAGAACTGGCTGTGGCCAGAGATGCAGTATGGACATGGTTAAAAGAAGTCTTAAGGACCTTGCTGCTGGGTCTGATGGTTGATGAAGTTTGGTGAGGGTGAGGAAGGTGTCAAGGATGAGCCCCCAGGTTCCTGATTTTCTGACCTTATGGGTGGGAACGCAGCCAGCTGCCATTGTGTAGTTCCTGACACCTCATGGGATCCCCTAAATGCACACACACACACACACACACACACAGCAGCTAAGTGTCTTCCTTCTTCCCCACCCCCTGTTCCCACAAGGTAAGCCAAGAAAATCTCCCTCAGAGGCTTGGTGAGGGCCCTGAGCGGGGCCAGAAAGCACAGAGGGGAAACCAATGCCCTTCCCATGTGCCCCAAGCCAGGGCAGCCCACCATGTCCCAAAGCTTGTCCCTCATTAACACCATGGGGTTGGGGCATTGATGGAAAGGGGTAACCACCAAGAGAGATACGATCAGGTCCTCCCCTGACACATGGCACTCACGGCCGTCTTCTCTCTGGTGTCCCACAGGGTTGGCCCAGCTAACCTGGACTTGGCCGACAGCCCTGGCCTCCATGACAGCTGCCCGCTCCTGGCCCTCCCCATTCTGGCTCTTCAGGAAGATGTTTCCCTTCAAGGTGGGCAAGGTGGCCCTTGCTCGCTTCTGCCCACTGGCGGCCTCCTCTGCCAGTGTTCACAGGAAGAAGCTAATCCGCAAGCTTCAGGAGGAAAAGGCTTTCCTGGCTGAGATGAAACTGTTCCATGAGAAAATTCAAGACTTCAGGGAGCAGATGTGGAGTTTCCGGGGCAAGATCCGTGCTTTCCAGGGTCAAATCTTGGGCTTCTGGGAAGAGGAGAAACCTTTCTGGGAAGAGGAGAAAACCTTCTGGAAAGAAGAGAAAAACTTCTGGGAAGTGGAGAAATCTTTCCGGGAAGAGGAGAAGACCTTTTGGAGAAAGTATCACACTTTCTGGAAGGAGGACAAGGTCTTCTGGAAAGAGGACAATGCCTTGTGGGAAAGAGACCGGAACTTGCTCCAGGAGGATAAAGCCCTATGGGAGGAGGAGAAGGCGCTGTGGGTGGAGGAGAGCGAGCTACTGGAGGAGGAGAAAGCCCTCTGGGAAGACAAGAAATCCCTCTGGGAGGAGGAGAACGCGCTGTGGGAGCAAGAAAGGGCCTTCTGGGTGGAAGGTGGTGGCCAGGGGGCCGGGGCGCAGATGCTGGGTGAAGAGCTTCCTGACGGCAATGGTGGGCAACAATTGCTCAAGGTCTCTAGGGCGAGGGCATAGCAGGGCCAGAGCCGGAGCACACACACACCCTTCCGGCTAGTCCTAAAGCCCAGGGTGGCCCCATGCACCGGAGGGGTAGACAGGCGCTGGGCTCCTTGCTTGGAACAATCTAATAAAGTCCTGAGAAGAGGCTAGGGAAACCAACTCTTCAAGGGAGGTGGGCTGCTGTGGTTCCCCACTGTCGGTCAGTGGGTGGATGGGTCAGGGTTGGGTTGAGCACCTGCATAGTCACTGTGGTTCTTTGCATGTGAACCCTTACACAGATGGGCACACAGAGAACTGGAGAAGCAGAGACTGCACATGGCCCAGCTAGGAGCAAATGGAAGGAAGGGCTAGGACTGGAACCCTATAGGCTGCACCTAACATGACCCAGGTAGAGGGCCCACAGGGGACACAGGGGACAGTCCCTTGCCTGATCATGGCAGCAACCCTGGAGGAGCTTTAAAAAGGTTTGGGATTTCCCTGTGAGTTGTGGTGGTGGAGAGATGGTAAGAACAAGGGACTCTACAAAGCTCCCTCGATTAGGAGACCATTCCTGGCACCCAACCCTGTAGCAGTGAAGTCTAGATGACACCAGGCCCTGCCAGGCCTCTGGGTTTCAGAGGCATGGGAGCCTAGAGCTGTGGGAACAGTATGATCCTTGGTCACAGGCCCAGCTCCCCAGGGTTTCCAGGTCAAGACTTCCATAATCATGAGGAGTGCCAGACCTGGGGTTGAGCATCAAGTCCCACAGAGAATGCCTGGCCCACCCTCAAGATCTGTCCAACAGGGGGCGCTCTAATGGAAGGTGTCTGTACAGGAGAAGCAGCTGACTCCACAGGCGTAGGGGGTCCTGCCGGAGACAAAATCACATGACCCACAAGTGTCCTCAAGATCAAAGAAATAACCCCAGCTAGGGCAGGAGCTGGGAATGTGCAGTGGATCAAAGCGGTCCCCTTAACAGCATCTGAAAGGATGCCCCAGAAACACAGCCACCCCTTGATGGTGGGTTCGAGGTGCTGCCCAGAAGAGAGGCATCCCTCCCTGCATCCTTCCCTGGCAAACAGCTGTGGACATTCTCAGGTCCTCTTAGGTGCAGGTGAGAAGATGGCAGGTGAACAGGTGCACTGCGAGGCAGTGATGGAGGAGACAGAGCCATAGTGTTCGTTGGTGCCTTTTAGCCCCCACTGTGAGCCAAGGGTGAGTGGAGAGGGATCTGGTGAGGTTTCCTGGAGGCGGCACTGGGTAGAGGAACCTAACAGGACTGAGAGATTAGAAGGCAGGCAGAGGGAACAATGTAGACAAGCGATGGGGAAAGCTGCAGACACGACGGGACTGTTGAGGGGGATACAACGTGCTGGGCTCCTGGCAGAAGCCACAGGGACCCACAATGGAGTGTCAAGGGAGGGAGTGGCAGCTTTAAGCTTTAGGAACATCATCTGGTTGCTCCCCATGATCGACAGATTAACAGCACTGGCCTTAGCATTGAGCCTGCCAGAGCTCAACACAGGCCCCACTCTGCTCTGTGGAATCAGGCCCTGTGTGTTGACAAGGTCTCCAAGAGACTTGTTGGGCCTTGGGGGTGGAGATGCATGTCTGCAAAGTGAGTGGGTACAGGAGCCGGCAGGGGAGACACAGATCATTCAGCAGGTGATGGAAGAGTCTGGGTGCCCTCCCCTGGGAAGCAGTGAGATGCTTGGGACGAGGAGTCCCGGGGGCTGGCAGAGGCCATTGGCAGGGGATGGACTGGACATGAGCCATGCAGGAAAGGCAGGTGGCTCAGTGACAAGTAGGTGCATTCCAACACAATGAGGGGGTGGCTATGCCTGTCACCAAGAGAAAGCCAAGAAACAGGAAGAGGAGGAGGGTTTGGGGGAGAAGTGACAAGTATAGTCTGGGATATGCAAGACTATAAACACCCCTTCTCTGCTAAGGTGAACAGGTCCTCTGAGCTCAGCCAAGGTTGCTCCTCGTGCACTGCCATCCAGCAAGAAGCCACACCCTGCACACACACTGGTTACGTCATTTATTCAGCAATTATGTCATCACCCATGTATTCATCCATCTGCCACAGTGCCTTGCTGAGACTATGGAAGTCTGGAAGTCAGTTGTTTCCTGGCTCTGTGAAACTTACAGAACAGCAGGGGGTGGAGATCATATCAGCAAAACTGGCCAAATGCTAGGGAGGCAGAGGTGTCTGGCGGGAAGACCCCTGGGAGAGCAGCAGGTGGGACACCACGATGGAACACGATGCCTACTGATGAAGACGTCACCTAGGGACATCCCAGCTGGGCACAGCAGCCACAGGGAGTCCCTAGATGCCAGGGGTGGGCTCCTAGACACAGGGGAGGAGGCAGGTCATGGCCGAAGGGTCTTCTACTTCCTGCGTTAATCCTGCAACCAATGTGAGCTGGAGAGTTAATATAACTGATAATATCTTGGTGAGTGGGCCTTTGACAATTTACACATGGGAGCACAATTAAGCCCATGCCATTTCTGGACACCTTATTGGGTACTTAACCATTGCCTCAGAATCTGGCCCAGACATGTAGCACACCTTCTGGGAAAGGGCTTGATAAATATCCTAAATATTAATGCAAGTGATGGGAGTGAGAACTGAAACGGCCATGGCAATAAACATAGTTACTGTGGTTCCAAAGGCTAGCCTGTGTTTGCAGTTTCTTTGGAGCCACTTTCATAATTTTTAGCTAGAGGAATTAAGGATGCTTTTATTAAAGAAATATGCTTCTAATTATTGATAGTTTATGGGGTTGTAGAACCTATAGTTGTAGGGGGAATTTAACATCTGAAATTTTTGTCTTGGATTTTTATGTTTTTTCCTTGTAACATATTTTTTCCCATTAAATAATGGGTAAACTGTAGAAATAGAAACGTGGTAGGAATGCATTACTGATTAGCAGGTAATCACATGTGCCGTGGCCTTGGAGTCATGGCTGTCGCTCCACGACTACTACTGAAGAATGAATAATGGCTTGCTTTGAAGAATATGAATACAGTATTTTGTAGAATTATCTTTAGGGGCACCTGCTTAGCCCTGAGGTACAGACAGAATGACCAAATGTCTGTGCATGCCCCTTAGTCTTGGAGTAAAAATAGAACAATTAGTTGTTTGTGTAGAGGTTTGTGATGTGTCTGAGTAAATAAAAAAGGACAGCTTCTTGAACTGTTGCGAGAGGGCACCAAGTGACAGTGTCCATGTCTTTCTTTATCACCAACTCCACGCACTCTTCCTGAGCTCCGAACCTGGCTGGAGCTGGTCTCTGGCACTGGTTCATGTTACCACTGCTCCACTTCCAATTCAGCTCTCTGCTTGTGGCCTGGGAAAGCAGTGGAAGATGGTCCAAAGCCCTGGGACCCTGTACCCACAAGGGACATCCAGAAGAATCTCCTGGCTTTCAATCAGCTCAGCATTGGCCACTGCAGCCATGTGGGAAGTGAACTAGTGGATTGGAAATATTTCTCTGTGTCTCTTCTTCTCTCTGTAAATCTGCCTTTCCAATAAAAATAAGCAAATCTTTAAACAAAACCTCGGACCCTTGCAGGATGTACTCGTATAGATAAATCAGTTGTGAGGGGCCCTGGAAGGCTGGGGCACAGGTAGGCATGTGCATGGATTATAAAATGCTTTATGTCCAAGTCAGCTTACCTTTAAATTCCTTTCCAAGAACTTCCTGAAGTAGCCTGGGACAGGTATTAGGCACAGAGGCATCCACAGGCCAGGACCAGCCTTCAGGTTCTCTTCCCCTTCTTAGTGCTCTCACAATCACATGCATTTGCATCTCTAGATGCAAGAGAACCTGGCAGAGAGAAACTGGGCTCAGCTGGGAAGTTGTCTTGGTCAGGGATACTTGGTGGCTCATGAAACAAACCACATGGTCCTGTTGGAGGCCCCCTGTGCTGCCCCTTCTATGGGGGGCCCAACACATGTCAGGAGCTGAGCCTCTTCTGGCCAGGGGTGCCAGGAAGCCACTTTGGGAGCACAAGATGAGGATGTGCTTTGGGGGTGGAGCCATGTGGATCTGAAAGCCCCAGCAGTTGGCTCGGTGACCCCAGGGCCTGGCTTAGGAAATGGGAAAGCATGCCATAACAGCTGCACAGGACATGTAAGGTGAGAGAGGGAGGCAGCCACACCTCATGGCAACCCGGCAGTTGAATGTTGCATCACATGATCTCGCTGGACTCAGGGCCATCAGTTCACAGCAGGTGCATCCTGGGACTCAGTTGTGGGGACAGCAAGGTTTTCTCCATGTCCTGAGATGGTTCCTCCACCAGGGGGTGCCCTGCCACAGTCATGCTGGCAGGAGGGGAGGGAGACTCCCTTGAGGTTGCCATGGGACACTACAGGGGTGCATCTGCCTACCCTATTTCTGTATGTTTAACATTTTAAAAGTCGTTACGATGTTGAGGTTAAGACTTCACAGCCAATTCCAATTCAGAAAAAAAGATGAGCTTCCATCAACTCTTGTTTTCATGGTAGTCCTTAGGTGTTTTTACATCTGTTTATTCATCTTTCCTGAATAGAATGAAAGCAGCTCTGGGATTTCACAGCACTACTTAACCTTCTCATATTCTATCCTGTAATTTCAACCGCCATCATTGTCCTCACACAAAGCGAAAACAGCGGACGGGCAGACATCTCCTTTCTGGAATGGAGTCAAACAGTGGTGTTGATGTCCCTGCCCAAGCTGAGTTCAGGAATGAATAAAGCGGGGTGGCTTCATTCCTAGAGCCACCCAGGATTTCTCAATAGCAACTCCCCTTTCCCACACGCCTGGGGAACCTGGGAACAGGCCTGGCCGAAAGACACAACTGACAACACGGTGCAGGAAACTCAAAACTGTTTTAGCTCAAGAATTCATAAACATTATAGAATCCAGTTACCAAGATACTGACATAAATTTTTTGAAGGAAAAAAAAAATCTTCCTGTGGTTCAATCTTTCCCTTTAATTAGACTATTTGGCTGGTTTTGATCTATGCTGGGTTTTCTTAAAATAAAAGTCACCTTTATTAATTTCAGCTCCTTAGTGAACTTGCAGAATGACTTGGAGAGCTATGCTTTTTGGACATGTCAACTTCCAGTGCCATTTAAAAAAAATAACTAGAATCACCATCATTTT